ATGGAAGATATATCTCGGTGAGATGGATTCCATGTTCTCTTGAGGCAATGGGAAGGTATCGAGCACCTTCTGCCCAAAACGACGTCTTGCCTCATCAGATCTTACATCAGGATTTATTCCAACCATTCGGAGACATGTCGTTATCAATAGAACAACCTCCTTGATGTAAATATTAAGGGGAGTGAGACTTAGAATGATTTCCATGACTCTGGTTGGTGTGGTTTTCATGGATCCTATTGTGTTGAAATATGCTCTTCTTTTAATTTGTTCTAGTTTGCAAATATAGCTGTCCATTTTGGATTTGAGATGAGTAGTAACCAATTCGTTATACTATACTGTACACTATATATTTACTCGAATTTTAATTATCGTTTAAGGACTGTTTCATGTTCTGTGACTATTTCGGCGAAGACCGTCTTGGCCGAGACCAGTTTATAAATATACACCTAAATGTTACATAGTAAAAATGGCACGCATTTCAATTTCTAAACTTTTAGTGGCCGGTTTCCAGAACATCGGTCCGATATAGTTATGTGTCCAATAAGTAACATAGCTTTTTTAAGAATATATTTATCACTCGAGTGTAATCGATCATTTAACTAGTTTTAAATTTAACCTCGTGTTAGACTTAATAACTTTTAATTTTAAAAATGAACGGCCTCTTAATTCGCTGTCACTTTGTTCTTCAAATGCATCATTTCTAACAAGTACATGGTCAACATTAATTTCAAATATTTCCTTATCGGAAGAATCAGGCGAGCTTCAATAATAAATACATTCTGAATATTTTTTCGGTCTTGGTCAGAGTTACAATATCAGGCATTCCAAAAAACAAAGTGGTTGCCTGTTGAAGATGAAACACAACCCCCAATTTTACACTAAGTTCAGTGTTCTGTACGTGCTTGATTTTTGATTGCAACGTATGTTCTTTTTTTTAGACACCTTTTACTTCTCGTACTCTAATTCAAAAAAATGTCTTTCCGTAAAATGAGCAACTATATAATTTTTACATTACCGTTGGTGTTGATCATAATCCACTCTCAAATAACAAATTACCGTTATTTAAAATAATTATGTGCAAAAAAAACAAATTAGTAGAACGTTTGTGTGTCAAAATCACAAAACACTCATCCGGTCAAATTCTTTAGGCAAGGCAACCGTTTGAGCAAGACGTTTTAATGCCTAATTATTTACTGCTTACTGCCCATTTGTCAGATACTTACTGAACATACAGTGCCTTAACCCTTGGATCCTTCTAAATAAAAATGAGACGCTTAAATATATTTAAACGTGAGTGAAAATAAATAGAGACTTTCGTAAATCGGCTGACGTCTGCCGAGATCGGACCCATGGTTACCTCTCTACCACTAGTGGGCTGGCGCGGACTAATCTACTTCTATCTAATAAATAGCATTGCTTATTATATATCCCTCTTTTGGTGTCAGTGAGGGAAAGTTAACAAGTTGTATATATGTCACCACTTTTAGCAAGACATCTGTCCATTAACTTATAGAACCGATAACTGTTGCACGTTTGAGAAACGATATTTCTCTTAAAGAATAATAAGTGGTACAAATTTTGTATTTTTAATATTTTTTTGTAGTAATTTGACTCGTAATTTGACCATATTAGAGAAAATGGATAATCTTTCTTCATTGAAACATAACATGCATCTATATTCTATACTGTTTCAGAATTAGGAGTTAGGTATGTTTCATATACCTCCTGAAGTTATGAAAGAGTATTATATTTCATTTTAAATTATAAATTAAAATAAATAATATAAGAAATTGAGCTGTATATTTTTTTCTTTAATTCATAATTACCCTAAATTTTTGTTTTGGCCAGACATTTCTTATTAAGAGTCCACAGTGTAATAGAAGTAACCAGACGAAAAAATGCAATCCCTATTTTGTGTGTTGTATTAAAATTACTAATGCGAAAAACGTTTGATAACTGTAAGTCTAGCGGTCTAAAAATATATTCGGAATATACTTTTCAATGTAGGACACTAGTGGTCAGGAATTTTAAAAAAAATTGGTAATTGTGGGAAAAATAGAAAAATATTGCCCGCACAAGTAGGTATTTTATATTCATAGTTGCGATAGCTGTGAAAAAAGAATTTCTAATTAGTAAAAAAATGTTTAAAGGTTCATTAGCACCATTACAACATCATTATGGGTGTGTGAATCAACAAAATGACATTTGGTATTCCAATTGTATAACAAATATATTATTAAAACTGAATTTAACTTTTAAATCAGTGAATGCGTGTATACATAACTACAATTATTAATTTTTTTGGGGATGTCTGTATCAATACTGATTGGACAGAACTTATACAAATAAAATTTATAAATTTATGCAGATTAGTTTATTTTCAAAATTAAGATTTTTATTAAATTATTACAATTTATGGTATGGTAGACCTGTTTCACTAGATTTAGTTTTTTTAAATATTTGTCAACATTTTTAATTTACAGGGTATGATTAAACATAAGACATCTAACAGTTTTTTTAAACAAAAAAAAACTACCTAAAAAATGAGGTCAAAATTTTACGTGTCAATGTAGGTTGAGAATACCATCAAATTTGCCAATTGCTATTAAAATGCAGTTTTTTATCCCAATTTGCAGGAAGTGTGTTTCAATAAATATTAGCAGATATAACACCTTCTCAACTTTCTTCAAGATTATACAAATTATAACCTGTTAATCATAAATTATAATAAAATATTCCGTTACTTCATATGCAATGCAAATTCTCTATTTGAGGGTATACTACTGTTAACTGTCAGATGTTTTAAGTGCATAGACAATTTAATGTTCTGTTTTAGAATATCAATTTCTTAATAAATATAAATGATCTATTAATAATTAAAAAATACTTTTTATTCAAAATTATTCTTTTTGTCCTTCCAAGCGTCTAAATGGGTTTAGAAAGTTGCTTTCTCATCCACCCTTATTTTTTTTTTCTTACTTTCTTTTTTTAGTAATTGCATGTATTCCCTCTATCGAATTGTTTTTTCTCATTTCTGTTTCTTCCTATTGCTTGCATAGATCTTATCGATGGTGTGCCTTTTTATCTTTATCTTTTTTCTTCGTAAGCTTTTCTTATTACTTTGTTCAGTACTGTCATCTTTTTGATTAATTTAGTATTGATTCTCATTTGTTTTTTACAATTATTCTTCTTAAGTGTTTCATCTGCATTGCATCGATCTAATTGACATGTTTATTCTGGATTGTCCAATTTTTGCTTGCGGTTAGAATTATTATGTTCCATTTTTTTACGCCAATTTGCTTTTTCCTAGGATTATGTTTAGATCTTATAATTCAAGACCATAATACTATCATACTAAGCCTGTTTTTAACGCAACAAAAGAACTAATTTTTAAAACAATTTTCAGCCTTTGAATATAGGAAAAAATACCTACATTTTTACTTCAAGGCATAAAAGCTTATGCTTATTTTGTAAAACATGGATGATCAATATATATAACTGTCTATCTCACTGACCCTGTCAAATCACCAGGCCCTCTGACCAGGCCCATAGGGTTGCCAGATAATAACATGCATGCCAACTGGCAGCCATTTTATTTGCCGTGAGTGAGTTAGTTAAATGAAAAGGTACTTTGTTTATAATATATAACGATCAGACCTAATGTTTCAGCATATTATTATTTATGTTTTAACAAAAATTATTTTTGTTGTTTGAATAATCTGTTATAATGAACCACCTAGGTACAGCACAAATTCATAAAAACCCTAATTATTATACTGGCTATTAGCAACCGAGTTGCAAAGTTAAAAAAATGTATCCATTTGGGCAAAAACTACAAATGAATTGAAAGAAAAAAGTGATGGGTAATAAGTTTTTTTATCTCACAATATCGGGTATAAGAAGTTATATAGAAAAAGTTAGCATTCAATATCATTTAGACAAAAAACAAAAACATGTTTAAATAAACATATTAAATAAAATATAACAGATATATTTATTTGTAGGTATTATGAAAATAGTATTTATGTCAACAAACTTATGTTCGGTACCTATATATAACAATTTGTAAAGATAACTCTTACAATAAATATCAAAAGAAGTATACATTTTTAAATAATTTGACATTTAAGAGCCATTCGCATATCACAGTTGACATCTTGATACTTGACAGGCACAGCCAAACATTATTTTTTTTTGCCAAATAAAATGTCCTGTTAATTAGTCTATGGGGTTGCGACAGAGAATCAGTAAATTTCATGAAGGTCTTTTTGTGGCTAGGGGTGAAATAGTAGTACGCTTAATAGCACCACCATAAAAAGTCATTTTTAAGAAACTGCTTATATATTTTTTATAAATTGGCAGGCGTGGCGACTAATTTCGAATGAAAATAGCCTCCAAAATGGCAGTATGGTTGCAAGTATGAAGGTCGCAACCCGCCTTAGAAATTTCACCTTTACTATCAACAGCTATTGTTTAACAGGTCGTTAGAGAATGTTTGCAATTTATAGAATGTGAAGAATGTTAGGAATTTTAACTTTAGAAATAATTGGAATTCCTAAAATTGTCACATAAGGAATGCATAGGCGGATTTTAAGAAAATTGTTATTAAAGTAGTTAGGTTGAACCGAAAATTCTAAAAATCAATAGGGTTCTAAGTTAGAAGTAATTATTCAAGAAAATCAAAACCGCAAGTACATCAGAACTTCTGTTCTAGAGTTATCGTGCCGGCATACATACATACAGACGACCAGACGAAATTTTTTTTTTTTTATTTTCGGATTCAGAATGATCAGAAACATGAAAAAAAGTTTTAAAAAATGGGGGTCAGAAATTTTTTTAGTCTGCACAAATGCAATACTGAGGCCCCATAGGATGGGCCTTAGTAATATATACCTATTAAAATAAGTGGCGCGAAGTTAGTTCTTAAAATATTTATAACCATCAATAAAATAAATCTCAGTACTTTGCGAAAGGAAATGTATTTGTACAATATTTCTTACTTCCAGGAAGATTACGACTTATATAAAATGATACTGGGCTACTGGGCCACAATTTACATTGATGTTCCATTAAACTTGTAAATAATGCTATGTTTATATGATTTTCACTTCCGAATGGTATTCTATGCGTATCATCACGACATCAATCGGCTTGGCCTTAATGAATCATCGGAATACCTTCTCGAATATTATCGGATACTTCACCGTCTTCGAATCGTGTTTTGTATTTTCTTTTCGCGAGTTTAAGAAGAGGAAATCGAGATCTGGCATTGTATATTAAACAACTAAAAAATAAACCGGTATTTATACATGGTGATTCATTGGGAAACGAACATACGTTAACTGTTGATCATTCTAAATTTAATGCATCTTTAACTGTTTCTAACCGAGATACAAAGAGCTTTATTAATTTTATTTATTTCTTTGCTTATTCATGAATAATTACGTAAGTTTTTTTTTTTTGACTTTAGTACACTTGTTATCCGTATCTTATCGAATATACCGACATATAAAAAGTAGCAACAGGCTTTGCTAAAATTTACGAATTCTCCCACCCTCAAAATAAACCGAAACCCGTAAAATTTAGATTTTAAACTGATACCCTACAACGTTAAAATTTCGCCCCTACCCTCAACCCCCTTCGAGTGACAGTTGCAACCCCGAAATTTGTAAATAGGAAGTAGGAAATTATGATACCTTATTTGAAAAGTCTCGTTATTCTGTGGTTTTCAAATTTATTGCAAAAATCAACTGTAAAAGAAATGATTAATTAATTATATAGTGTAATTCTTCTTACATAAAAATAAGAAACATCAATCTTAATGTAGATGTTCAAAGAACATGCCTCGAACGTCCTGGCAATATCCTAATCGTAAATAAAATTGTATTCAACATCTGAGGCGCGACCGACGTAATCGCAAACGTAATTTTTCTTCTTAAATCAGCTGAATCGTGTGGTTTAGTTTTGTATAGTATATTTTTAACATATCCCCATAAGAAAAGTTTAATGGAGTAATATCAGGTACATTCTATGGATCCTCGCCTTCCTATCCACGATTTGGAAATATTTGGTTGAGGTACTGCCGGACATTGTTTTGGTAATGTGGTGTTGCTTTATCCTGCTGGAACCATATCACATTCGATGGAACTTGTTGGTTTAATTGACTAGGATATAAATGTGCCCGACAATATTTTGGAGCAGTGTTAAATAATTATCTCCATTCAAATTTCCATCAATGGACCCTGTCCAAAAATTAACCCTTTCGTGGTATTATGTATTTTGGCGATTAGTATGGCCATGAGCATTCATCAGAAAACAACATGTTCGTTCTAATTGTGTAACATTGTTATAACATTTCCATTATTTGTTCACAAAAATGCGTTCTTCTAACAAAATCGTCTTTCTGAGTTCCTAATAAGGAGGTGTGGTGGTACCTGGACCGGTATTAAATTAAACACATTTTTAAATATAACTTAGTATAATGAATAACTAATTCACAAACCATAAACAATTTACTTAATTATAATAAACAATAACTCTATTAATAGCCCAGTATAATAACTATAGTAGAATCGCAATCGACACAAAGTAATATATCTGTCAGATCAGGAAATTTCAAGTGTGGGTGCCTATATTATTATTTACGGGGTACATAAAATCATCATTTAAAAATATATTTTTTGCATATGTATTATTGAGTATTATTTCGGTATATAGGTACTTTACAAAATGTTTTTTGAGGTATTCATAATTGTTATATAAATGGTAGAGTTATCTGTTTTAGTAAATTAACAACAAGGTTTATAACAAATATTTTTCAAGACCTATAAATTTGATTATTAGGTATGCCTACATTAAATTGTTTAAATCGTTATTCATCATTGACTTCTTGAAAATTTTTGATGTCAAGGTGCAAGTTATTGACAAGTGGAGAGAAAGGTTTCAGCTTAGATTATAGAAAGTAATCTGAGGGTTCAAAATCTATAAATGTGACTATAATTTTAATAAAAATATAAATGGGATAAATCTTTAGATTATAGAAATCTCTAATCTAAAGGTTAATCGTTATTTTATCATCTTCTTGGAAATTACTAATGTCATGGAAAAACCAAAATAATAACAAGGGGTGAGATAATAAGATGGTTACCTACCTAGAATTTGGTATGAAGATAAGATAGGCAACACACTTCCCTGACTCGGTCATCACACACGTGGCGGACTGGGCAGAGGAAGAATACAATCCATCTGTCTATGATTGGCAAATTGCCAAACACATCGTAGACGATGAAAAAATTAGATGGGCAACATTCAGCTTCTCTCCATTTAAATCGCCAGGACCTGACGGTATCTATCCAGCCGTACTTCAGTGGGGTCTGGAAGAACTCACACCGCACCTGGTGGGTATATTGAGATCCTCGTTGGCTTTGAGGTATATCCCAAAAAATGGAGAGAGGTAAAAGTGGTATTTATACCCAAACCTGGAAGGATGGATTACACTGTCCCAAAAACATACCGACCAGTTAGTCTGACATCGTTTTCCATGAAGACATTGGAAAGGCTATGCGAAAGGTATATAAGGGATACGGTGATTACAACACCATTACACCCAAACCAACATGCATACACCCCAGGCAGATCTACTGATTCAGCCCTTCATCTAGTTGCTGGCGGATAGAAAGATCCCTGGACAATAAGGAGTCCGCCTTGGGTGTTTTCATAGACATAGAAGGTGCTTTTGATAAAACCACCTTCCCAAAGATAATAGACTCACTAACCAACAGGAATGTTCCACAAATGGTTAGTGGGTGGATGTTATGTTATGTTAAGAATGGGGTGTTAATAAACTGAGACCTAAAAGATCTATTGTGCCCTCTTCTGTCGCCACTGCACTAAGGAAATGTCTCAATGCCTATAGCGACCCTTCCAATCCTATTTTCTCACAAAGAAGTGTAGGATTTGAAGTGGCTTCAAGTTAGGTAAATCTCCCTCTTCTATTTGATATCCTCCTAGATATAGTGCCCTTGGATTCTGGAGTGCTACACATTCAGTTAGGATGTGAATGGAGGTTTCGTCCTCCTTCTCACAGAATCTGCACTCACTATCCTCTACTACTCTCAGTTTACTTAGGTATCCTTTTAGTCGGCAATGCTCGGTAAGGATCCCTGTTACAATACGTAGCTTGTTCTTGCTCAGGTAGATGCAGGCTTCCGATCTTTTCTGGTTATATTCACCCAGAAGTATCTTGGCCTGTCTCAGCCCCAAGAGATTGTTTCAATTATCGGTTCTTCTACTGCCCAATTCTTTTTAATCTCTCCTAATATTATGTTACTGCTGATACCGCAGAACGGCTCAGGTCCTACAAAGGGTGTTTGAGCCCCTTTCCTTGCAAGACTATCTGCAATCTCGTTACCCTGTACCCCGTTATGACCCAAGTGAGAGTAACTCTATTTTTTTCGCCTAGCTCATTCAATTGTTCTAGGCAGACCATTTTTGAGCTGATTACGTAAGAGCTCAGCGCTTTGATGGTTGCTTGACTATCGGACATGATGATAATCTCTTGTCTATGATAGTTTCTCTCGATGTTAAACTGGATACACTTCTCGATGGCGTGAATTTGTAAAATTATTATTTAATGCATTTCTGTTAAATAAACCATGTTTCTTTTAAATTTAAATGAAACGTAACAACACTGACAGCAACCAATTTAATATTAGTATAATTTAATATAATATAATTAATAGTATATTATTATTCAATTCGTCCCATCACGACTCCTTCTTAGGCTACGATTGAGTACTTTTATTCCTTACCCTGTAAAAGCAATAGTAGCGGTCACTATACCGTATAATTTCTCTATATTTCTTGTTAAATAATCTCCATAAAGAAAAGCAATTAAAGTACTACATCATAAAGTAAAATTTTCAATAAACATAGCATAGAGTACATATAACTGTGTCATTACATGATCTTATAGGAAAGTTTTCGGTAACCCCTTTTTTTAAAGTAAATTAACGTAAATGTTACATTTGGTACGAACACGATACTTTACAAGTGTGTCATCTCCAAAAAAACACGTTCATCGACCTACTTTAAAAAAATGTTTTGCTTTTATTTATTTTTATGTGGAATTTTTACGACCAAAATCCTGCATGGCTAGTTTATTTACTTTCGAGAAGAATTTTCCATTAGTTAATCTGAAACCGATTTTTTTTATAAACTACTATTATAAAGTGATATAAATTAATGACTATTTACATTAGCCAATATATTTTTTATGATGAATAGCCTAAACCACTTTTTATAATAATTAAGGTATCGTCATAAACATTAGTGGATGCAGTATAGAAACGGGGTTAAGTCATAAAATTAAATGGAGATAAATTATATAAAGTTTAATTTAACATACAAAAATATTTGTTTATAAATCGAGGTGTATAAATACATTATTTTAAGATCTAAAATCATCAAAATGGAATAAAAAAGTTAAGAAATTAAGTATTTTATGCAAAAAGCTTTAAAAACTGAATAGCTCATTTCTTATGTCATGGCCATGACATTGACCAGGAAGTGAACTAATGTAAAATAATATGACAGTAAATGTAAACAAGTATGTAAAGTCTCGGAAATACACCCAGTCCATTTGCTTTCTTTATTGTTTAAATGTAAAATTGATAAAACAAAAAGTTACTAGATTTTAGCAAGTTGTAGATTAATTAATAATTAATAAGGTCAGTAAAATGGAGAGCAATAATTGTCCTCAATTTCGAGGAAACAGAAGAAGATAAATTAACTATTATTTCTCCAAGTTTTTCTTTTAACCTTCGTTGTCTCAAGAATTCAAGATTTATATGTGTATGACTTTGTCTTTCGAGTTAAGAGTTCTCAGAATTGTTTGACTATAAAGTGGAATTTTAATAGCAGTACGACTGTGTTCTGCAATCGAGTGTATTTATTGTGATCTTGTATTACTGTTATGAATCGTTGAGTTTTTATATTTTCGGAAAAAATATATTACAGCCTGTTTTTTTTTCTCTCCTGGGCTCGTCTGACTATGTGTCTCCGAATAACAC